TTATTAAGAGGGACTAGCTCCAAATCTACTCCAGTCAGAATAAAGAAATTAAATATAAAAGCAATAAATGGAACCCTGCACTAGGAAATGTTCACGCAGTTCGGAGCCTCACTTCTACGTCTGCGGGGCCACACACGTCAGCCCAATCCACTAGATGATCAACTAGGAGTACAAGGGGGTGTACATTACACACTAAAGCATAAACTACACTACTCCAGCGTAGCGCACTACTCCGATCCAGCGACTACTCCAGCATCACCATGGACTTGACGTGCAGGCTATCTTCATCACAACTTGAACCAGTTGAGAAACCTTCAACACACGAATATATTGATAGAAAAACCAGTGGAGGATTTGAGGAATGATATGTATAATTTTAATCCTTGAAACTTCAACTTTAATGCTTAACAAAGTATCATTTTATAGTGATGATATGAAACCTCTTTGGTCTGAAAAAATGCAGCCTTCAATTCCTCAAATTAAGCTGCATCTCCTGATTAAAAAAGCCATGGAAGTAGGGTCTTGACCAAAATAAATGTTTGAATGAATTTCACTTCTTCTGGATTACTTCCTTGAGTTGATCATGGACTGCATCCTGACGCTGACACTGGACTGGAGTAAGCGCTGATCCAGACTCAGCCTAACACAGACACTGGACCATTTTGACAACTAATTTAATCTAGCTTAAGTGGATTTTAAATGTGGAACATTTTACACTTATAAATAACAACAAAGAGATGCATAAGATCAATGACGAAATACTAATATCACAGAAACAGGAGTTGAAGAATTCTAGAAAAACTCATAGCAATATATACGTATGACATTCATACATAGACAATGGCATAGTTCTGAAAATAAAATCCACCTGAACAAGGAACCTGGTGTACCGTTCATCGGAGATTCTAATGGCGATTCGTGCTGATAACGTGTTAGAATTTGGCCTTCTAATTAATTCAGTTTTCTCGTGATATTTGTACGATATATAATTGCCGGTAGATTGTATGCAAAATAATAAAACGTAAAGAGGTATGGAAAATGTAAGAACACAAGATGTAGAATTCAACCGTCGCACAGGTTATGCTCATACTTTTTGCACCAAACATGAACCAGTGTGGGATTTGAAAGCCAAGCTTGCAACTCGTGGTGGATAACAGAGAGGATTCAAATATTATTCCTTAGTTATTGGAATACAAAATTGAGAACTTCTTTATATAGAGTATGAAGTCTTTGAATACAATACACTTACTAAACACCAGGAACATATAAAAGTTATTATATACAGTTGATACAAGAAAAATAATGACGCTCATAGAATGAACCTTTTTATTTATTTATTTATTTATTTAAATTCACTTTTTTGAAGTATATATAAGATTTTACTAACTAATTTTTTATTTTCTTTTCTCAACCTCGTTTCTCAAATATGACAATTTCTAAATGTTGGGTCTCAATCGGTTGGCTTTGCTTCTAAGGTTCCGCTTGGAAGGCAGGAAAATGTTTTCTGGAAAATGAGTCATTTTCCTGAAAACATTTTTCTTTCGAGTGTTTGGCTACCCAACGTAAAATTTTCTGTGTGTTTGGTTCATTTTCCAGAAAATGTGTAGGAAAATAAAAAGAAATGAATACTTTAAAATTTTAATTGTTTGATACTTTTGATAAAATACGTTTGTGAATAGCACTCTTTTAATATATATATATATATATATATATATATATATATATATATATATATATATATATATATATATAATTAACATTTTAAAAAATATAATCTTTTTTATATTTTTAAATACGAAAAAATTATTATTATTTGTAGACTTTATTTACTTTTTTGAACTTTGAATTAAAAAAAAAGTCCGAGGATTGCCCCCGCGGGGCCCACCAACCTGCATGGGGCGGGCTTTGGTTTCATGAACCCTAGTCTGTGGGTTTGTGGGGCCGACTCGCAAAAGCCTACAAAAAATTAGGCCTGAAAATTTTTACATATGGATCCTTGGAAAATGGCTTCCCAACAAAAAAAGGGAAGTCATTTTCTCCTAAAATATACATATTTTCCTTTGACTAATGCATCATTTTTTATTGACCTCGTTTTCCCTTCTCTTGCCAAACACTGAAAACTCAGAAAACATTTTTCGGAAATCATTTTTCGGGTTTCCAAACGCACCCTAAATGAAGTGCATATGTAAAACATGTATGATATTTTAGTTGCCTTCAAGAGATTATTTTTTTGAACATAATTTGTGAAAGTTTAGAATATTTTAGAAGTTCAAAAAGTTACTACAAATTCTCTTTATAAAGGATTACACCTTGATCTTGAGTCCTGCTCTTATGTATCTTAAAATTTGATGGATAATATAAATTACAAAATGTACTCCAATCGATTTACAAATCCTCAAATACTTGTATATAATATCTATAATGACTTTTTTTTTTTTGAAAACAGTATTTATAATGAATTAACAAAGCTATTTCATACTTCTATTTTTACACTTGATAAGAATACAACCTTGCAACTACTAGCAATGCAAAACTTCCTTTATATACAAGTAAAAGCATATAGAAGTTGCGTGAAGAACTCAATTCATTAATCACAAGGAAGCAGGCTATTAATAGCTATACAATGAGATAAAATAGGCTATGAAAAGCAACAACACAGACCTATTCTACAGGATAGGAAAATAACTAATAAACATTGAGTCAAAAATAATGTAAGCAATTAATCCTCAATACACCCCCGCAAGATGGAGGTGCCGTCAGAAACTCCAATCTTGGAACGAAACCGCAGAAAGAAATCACGACCAAGTGGCTTTGTTAGAAGATCTGCAACTTGGTCTTTTGAGCTAATGTGACTAACACTCAAGGAGCCATCCATGACACGCTCACACAACAACAAACCATGAAATATAGTTCCCTTCAGATAACGAAGTAACCTCTTAATCACAACCCAATGATGTTCCTTTAGCGAGTACATGTATTGAGATAAGGAATTAACCACATAAGCAATATCTGGTCTAGTGACAGACAAATATTGAAGCAACCCGACTAACCTGCGAAAACCAGTAGCATCTACTACAGGCTTCCCATCATGAACAACCAAAGGCATGGAAGAGGACATTGGAGTAGAGACACTCTTCGCACCATCCATGTTATAACGAGCAAGAATATCTGCAATATAGCGACTTTGAGACAGAAAATAACCCCTAGAGATGGGCACAACCTCAACACCAAGAAAATGGTGTAGCATGCCTAAATCCTTCAAGGAAAATCTCTGTGATAGCAAACTGATAAACTGACCAAGGAAAGCATTGTTATTGCCAGTGACAATTATATCATCAACATATACTAAAAAATACATCAATATCCCACGAGCAGCATACACAAACACATAAGCATCACAAACTGTCTTCTTAAAACAAAACTTAATAAGAAAAGACGACAATTCAAGGTACCGAGCTCGTGGAGCTTGCTTCAGACCATACAAGGCTTTTTTAAGTTTGCACACGTAATTCGACTTAGTAGAGTCAATAAAACCTGAAGGTTGCTCCATAAAAACTTCTTCAGTCCATGTCCCATTTAAAAAGGCATTGTTGATGTCAAGTTGTCGTACAGACCACCCTCGTGACAATGCAATTGTAAGCACAACACGGATAGTCACGGGTTTCATAACCGGACTAAAGGTTTCAAAATAATCATAACCAGACTCTTGCAAAAAACCTTTTGCTACTAAACGAGCTTTGAACTTATCAATAGTTCCATCGGCACGCCGTTTGACTCGAAAAACCCACTTACAGCCTAAAACCTTCTACCCGACATCCGGAACCAGTTCCCATGTTCGATTTTTAATAAGTGCTACATATTCAAACTCCATTGCCTCGTGCCAGAGCGGTTGCTTTAGGGCTTGTGCACCGTAGACGGTTCCACAGCATTGGGCATGGAATGAGCTGTAGTTAAATTCACAAAAGCTTTACCAAAAGATTTTGGATTTGGTTTTCGGGTCCGCTTTGGCCGATCACCAATTTGAGGCATAGCACGAGTAGACTCTGTGGACTCAGTCTGTAAGGTTGGTGATTGTACTTGTTCTTGGGATGAAGATTGATTATCTTGCAAAATTACTGGACGCACAGGCGTAATTGAATTATTATGAGACTCTGTAGAATGTTTGCTGGTTACTCGGTGGGACCTCGATAGAAGCAACATAATTAGCAAGATTAGGTGGATTTGGGATTTGATTCTGTACAGTAGGAATAGTAATGTGAATAAAACAAAGTGGATTAATAGGGGAATAACATGTGGGGTCAAGCAACCTATTATTATGAGAAGTAATAATTTTTTGGTAAGGAAACTCAGACTCAACAAATCTAACATGACATGAAACATAAATGCGATTTGTAACGGGATCCAAACATTTGTACGCAGATTGGGAAACAAAATAACCAATAAATACAAATGGTATCGATCGCGGTTGTAACTTTGAAGTGGTATAAGGCTTAAGCCACGGATAACAAAGACACCCGAAACTTTTCAGTTTATCATAACTCGGCATTTTATTAAATAATTTTTGGTATGGAGACACATTGTTAAGAATAGGAGTGGGCATTCTATTTATGAGAAAAATGACTGTTTGAAAGGCATATGTCCAGTATTTAATCGGTAAAGACGCATGATGGAGCAACGACAAGCCAGTTTCAACTATATGTCTGTGTCGTCGCTCCGCTGTACCATTACGGTCAGGAGTATGAGGGGGAGTTGTGAAATGGGAAATACCGGCCAAATTAAATAAAGGAACTAGTTTGACGAACTCACCACCATTATCTGAGAAGATGGATATGATTTTGTAACCAAAGAACTTTTCAACCAGAGTTTTAAACTGAGGAAAAATGAAAGCAACATCAGACTTCTTTTTGAGAGGATATAACCAAACATATTTTGTGAAAAAATCAGCAAAAATTACATAATAATAGCAACAATCAATAGACATATCTTTGGTTCCCCAGACATCAGGACATATCTTTGGTTCCCCAGACATCAGTATATAGGAGTTCAAGGGGTTTTGTGTTGTTTAAGGTATTCTCAGCAAATGGCAATTTATGACTTTTATTGACGCTACAAGAATCAAAATGAAAAGTACTAACGTCAAATGACTTAAAAGGATAGTTACTATTTCGAGAAATAACACCCAGAACTTTATTGGATGGATGACCCAAACGATGATGCCATTCATTGACACTGGAAAGAGTGATAGTATTAATCTGCGGTTCACATGACATGGTAGCAGAATAGACATCATGCATGTTGTTTCCCTGCATCAGACACGCCCCCGTGCGAAGATCCTTGACATGAAAAGAATTTGGAAAAAATTCAACAGAAACCCCATTAGATTGACAAAGCTTAGAAACAGAAACAAGATTACGACGCAATTTAGGAACACAAAGAACATTGTTTAAAGACAAATCGCGGGTAGGGGTAGGAAAAACAGTAGTGCCTGTGTGAGTAATTTTTAAACGATTACCATCAGCCAAATGAATTTCATCTGGTCCTCCGTATTCAGAAAAGGATGGCAATGATGTCGTGCTTGAGGTTGCATGGTGTGAAGCACCTGTATCAAACAACCAAGACTGTTGTGGCACATTGTTAACATTGAAGCATTCACCGATGGACCCGGAAAATTGGACACCTGTTGATTGCCAGATGTTACACCAACTTCGCGAAGTAACCTGGCCAATTTGCGACAGACTTTGGCCTCATGCCCATGCAGATTACAAAACCGACATACCGTATTATTGCGAGAAAAACCACCATTATTTTGACGATTTCCACGAAATCGTCGTTGGTTGTAGTTTCCTCCTTGATCACGATTGAAAGACTGTCCAGCGAACCCACTGTTAGACTGTCCAGCAGGTCCATTATTAGCTGTAGGATTTTGTCGCTGGGTAACGTTAGCCGTAACAAGGTGAGATTGTTTGGCTTCTTCAGCATCCTTCAACATGCGTTCATGCTCAATCAGAATGTTATAAAGATCACCATAAGTGATTCCTGCTTTCTGGACACGAACAGCAGGAATTATAGAAGCATAATCATCACCTAGTTGGTTCAACACATAAGCAATTAGATCATCATCATCAACTGGGCTTTGTGCAGCGGCAAGAGCGTCGGCAATTGAGCGCATATCCTGAAGGTAGTCAACGACTGAACGAGAGCTTTTTGGATTTTTTGACAGCTTGGTTTTGAGATAAATGACTCTACCCTTAGAATCATTAGCATAGCTTGTCACAAGTCTTGACCAAGCTTGTTGTGCGGTAGCTGCTGACGAGATGAGAGGTTGGATAGTCTCTAAGCAGCTCCCTAAAAGGGCACTGATCAGGATTTGATATTGGCGATACCATGCAGTGTAAGCCGGATTTGTGGCTCGTTGTGCTGTATCAGTGAACTGAGGTGGTGCTGTTTTCGAACCATCAACAAGGCCTAGGAGATCAAGGCCGATTAACGTGGATGTTCCTTGTCGCTGCCAAACCGGAAAATTATTATCATGAAGCCGGATGGGGGAGTGAGTTGGAGCATTTAAATGAATAAGAGTTGTTGTGGTAGAAGCGGAAGCCATTGGGTGGAAAGGGAACTAAGAAGGAAAAAAATGGATCTTTGAAAAAAAAATCTCGCTTAGAGAGCTTCGGCTCTTGATACCATATAGAAGTTGCGTGAAGAACTCAATTCATTAATCACAAGGAAGCAGGTTATTAATAGCTATACAATGAGATAAAATAGGCTATGAAAAGCAACAAACACAGACCTATTCTACAGAATAGGAAAATAACTAATAAACACTGAGTCGAAAATAATGTAAGCAATTAATCCTCAATAAAGCAAACATCGTCAACCAAAACAAAGGCAGAAAATACGTACAAGGGTAGATAAAGAATGAAACAAAACAAGGCTATTATTATTATTATTATTATTATTATTATTATTATTATTATTATTATTATTATTATTATTATTATTATATTTTTTTATAGTGTGAATAATATGTTGAGCATATAATATATAAAACATAAAGAGTTAATTCCACCGGAAGTCTTTTGTCTTTGATGGCAATTCCAAATTTAATCTCAGACTATCTTTTTTTGTCATTTAACATCTCATACTATTATTTTTTGGACACTTTTAGTCCTCATAACTTTTCTTATTTTTAGTAAGGGCAATTTTGTCTTTTCATATTTTTGTTTTGTTATCTTTACGGTTTTAACAGGTTTAATTGGTTTAGAACTTTAAGTAACTTCTGGTTTTAGTAACAACTAGTAATTCACCCGCGAAAAAATTATGCTATTATAAATATAAATAAAAAATAAAAAAACTAAAATATTTTAAATTATTTAATATAATAAATTTTTTGAGCTTCCATTGGTCAAGTATTTATTATTTTTATAGAATACAAAATTACAATTAAAATTATAATTATAATTTTGTATGGTTAATATAGTCTCTAATTATGTGCATATTCAA